TAAAATTATGAATTCTTTACAAGCTATTCAAGCCATTTATATTCCAATAAACTGTATATTGAGGTGAATGAAAACATTGCAATGTCAGTCTTTTCCAATATTGTGCAGCCCTTATACACACACACACACACACACACACACACACAAACACACAAACACACAAACACACAAACACACAAACACACACACACACACACACACACACACACACACACACACACACACAAACACCGGTCAGTTTAATTTATTCAATTCACCTATAGCGCATGTCTTTGGACTGTGGGGGAAACTGGAGCACTCGGAGCACTGCTAACCACTGAGCCACCGTGTTGTCCTTTTATTATTCTTATTATGGATTATTTTTACCAATACACAATCAAAAAAAATGCAAACAGGCTCTGTGACACCTTCATTTCAGCAGACTATCACAAAAAAAAGCAAACATCCGGATTCATTTTCCTTCGACTTAGTCTCCAGTTTATCAGGTGTTGCCACAGCGGAATGAAACGCCATCGATTCTAGCATATGTTTTAGGCAGCAGATGCCCTTCCAGCCTCAACCTACAACTGGGAAACATCCGTATACTCTCTTACACACACACACACACACACACACACACACACACACACACACACACACACACACACACACACACACACACACACACACACACACACACACACACACACACACACACACACAAACACACACACACACAAACACACACACACACACACAAACACACACACAAACACACACACAAACACACACACAAACACACACACACACACACACACACACACACAAACACACACACACACACACAAACACACACACACACACACAAACACACACACACACACACAAACACACACAAACACACACACACAACGGTCAGTTTAATTTATTCAATTCACCTATAGCGCATGTCTTTGGACTGTGGGGGAAACTGGAGCACTCGGAGCACTGCTAACCACTGAGCCACCGTGTTGTCCTTTTATTATTCTTATTATGGATTATTTTTACCAATACACAATCAAAAAAAAATGCAAACAGGCTCTGTGACACCTTCATTTCAGCAGACTATCACAAAAAAAAGCAAACATCCGGATTCATCTTCACAATACTAAAAAAAATAATAAAATAAATAAAAATTAAAAAATTACGGACAAGACGTTGAATTTGCCCAAACGACTTGAATGGCTCCATTTAGAAAGAATTAGCAGTTTTAGATTGATTGGGATCATTTTGTAGACCAGTACATCTGCATAAAATATAATAAATAAAATGGCTCGGACTGCTTGAACAGTCATAGACCTTAAAAACAGATGCAAACGATACAATACTGAGTCAATTTGTGGAGTTACAGTAAAGTGTAAAAGTAAATCACATGCTTTATTTCAACAGTGGCTCCTGGTCGACTATAATCCTGACTCCACATTTCAGATCCTGCGATGTGTCTATTGCAAATGCTGATTTTAAGAGTGAAACGATATATTGTGCAGCCCTATATGATTTATATTATATCAATGCTACATCAACACGCATGACACAAAAGTAATTGTGATACACACACAAACCTATAATTTTCACAGCGAGTTCGTCTGAGGTCACGAGAGATAATGCGCAGAAAACAACCATGCTAAAAAAACGATGTGTGAAATTATGTAACGTAGCGGCTGGAGATCTGTCCTTAGTTCTCGAGATATCTCAATGCTCTCAATCTGAAATGAGCTGTAAAACCTCACCTGTACAAGATTCATAACAACACAGCCAGAAGGGCTCTGTATCCTGCAAATAATAAAGCCGCACTGCCTTCTTTAAGAAAGAAACAGAGTCTTGCAGAAAGCTTTGCTCCGAAAAGTCTACAATTCTGAAAACATTAGCACTGCCAATGCCAAAAAACCTCTTTTGTTCTTCCTTTATTCATGTGTGCGCTATGGCTTTCAAAACATATTGATTTTTGAGCGAACAGGGATGGACTGACACGACTAGGACCGCAAATGTGCAGCCGGAATAAAGCAAAACACAGTCCAGCCTTCACTTTTGCCTACAGTCAGCCATATTTCTCTAATCTTCCGTACTACTGGAAGTGTCAAAACAGTGACGAGATGCGTGCATGTAGTACGATTGGCGTCCAAAAAAACGTAAGCCTTTAATCCGGGAGCATGTTTCAAGCTGCTACCTGATACATCTGCCAATGTTATCAATGTCCCTGCGAACATGACAGCGCTTCTATTCCACCGAGACTGACGCGACGTGCATGAGAACATATGACAGCCCGACGAATGAATGCATGCATGTAGTGATACATGTTTGCATTAAAAGACAAGCTGACCTCTGAGATAATGCTGGACTGTGTTATAAATGCATGCATGGATGTTGCACATGCAATCGATTTGACTATATGTAATAGTGCTATGATGCTGCCTGGAAATTCAGATTGTGTTTGTTTACTTGGTGTAAAAAAATAGAAATTACAAATCAGAACAGGCTGTTTGGGTATTCATAATAGCCTACGGGTTCAACAAAACCTTCCTACTGTAACAGTCTCCCTTATGATATTGTTCCAATCAATAAAGACATGCATGGCGGGGGGAGAAAACGCAATTCAGGTCTCCTGAAGATGTACTGTTCATGCAGAGTTTAGTTAGAACTCTTATTTCAAAGGATTTCGAGGGTTTGCAACATGAAAAGTAAAGAATTTTGCATTGATATGCATGACATAAACGCCAAAAAATGTTGTTTTGAATAACAGTTTACATGTTAATTAAATATGTATGTGCTTATGTGTCAAATTTGATCTTATATATTCAATATATACTCTATATATACAGCTGAAGTCAGATTTTTTTTTCTTTTTTAAATATTTCCCAAACAATGTTTAACAGAGCAAGGAAATTTTCACAGTATGTCTGATAATATTTTTTTTTTCTTAAGAAGGTCTTATTTCTTTTATTTGAGCTAGAATAAAAGCAGTTTTTAATTTTTTAATCCCATTTTAAGGTCAATATTATTAGCCCCTATTGGCTATAAATTTTTTCGATAGTCTACAGAACAAACCATCGTTATACGATAACTTGCCTAATTACGCTAACCTGCCTAGTCAACCTAATTAATCTAGTTAAGCCTTTAAATGTCACTTTAAGCTGTATAGAAGTGTCTTGAAAAATATCTAGTCAAATATTATTTACTGTCATCATGGCAAAGACAAAATAAATCAGTTATTTAAAATAAGTTATTAAAACTATTATGTTTATTAATGTGTTGAAAAATCTCTCCGTTAAAAAGAAATTGGGGGAAAAATATACAGGGGTGCTAATAATACAGGGGGGCTAATAATTCTGACCAACTGTATATCGACTGTTACTTTTTATGCATTTCAGTTTAATTATATAAAGAAAAATGACGGACCTGAAATGCAAAACAAAAATATTATCATGCATCAAGTCTGTATTTATTTTCTTTAAGTTCACATTAACATTTTAGGGTGTTTACCCCTTTTTATAGACCATTTTGAGGGATGTAAACAATAACAACAGTCCTAAAAAAATTACATTTTTCATTTACATATCTTCCAAAATCCAATAAGTTCAACATATTGATAAATAATGTTATGATCGCTATTTTGATGTAAAGTTATGACTGAGTCGCCTCTTGTTACAGTTATAAAATAGTTTGACAAGAAGCAGGACATGTTTACGAGCCAATGTCATCACCACACAGAAATGATTGAGGTAAAGTTGGTTTTATATTACCACATTCGTTTAATGACAACTTGTGACTCGCTCCCTATACTGTTTACCATAAATATTCAGTCTGGAATCACATGCAAGTATGACTCTAGAACAACATTGGCACTATTTATTTGACCAAGTAATGTTGTACTTTGATTTTCATTGGCTGATTATATGATTTCACTATTTAGTATGTGCAAAGAATCATTTTCTGTAATTAAATGATTAAGGAGAAAGTCTGAATGTGCGAATATAATACTTTACCTCAATATTGAAATGGTCTATATTTTAATGTATATATTATGATATTTTTATTTTAATCGATATCATGTTATTATTTTCCGTAAAAGTATTTTCAAATGTCATAATTTATGGTTGTACAGTAGATGTTGATATTTGTTTCGTTTTATGCTCTATTAAAAACTCTCTGTATGTGTAGTTTTATAATGACAACGTATACAACGTTGGCTGGCTCCGTTCGTCTTATATAGCATGAAACCATCACTAAGCAAACATAAATATCTACTGCACATTATATTGCACGTATCGTTCAATATATGTAATTATAATCAAAGATTATTATATAGGTGGCTGCTTTCGCTATTTTTACAGAGCACCATTCACTAAGCTAACATAAACATCTACTGTACAAGTGCAAGGATCAACCGAGGACATTGTAAATGACCTGCTTTTTAACAATATCCATCTACATTAACGCTGACTTAGCAAAAGGCGATCAAACAAAGCTCAAAATCTGTCATTAATTGTAAACAAACATATAAGCGAAATCGACGAGACCTACTGTAAACAAATACCTGACTCAGGTGATCAGTGGTTGCGTCTCAAAACCTACTCCTAGAAGGCATTTAAGACCACAACCTATCCATATCAACAACAAAACGCTGTCCACACAGGTTTATTGAAGCAACCACAGACTTCAGGTTCACTTAAGGTGTGAAACTAAAACTCTCCCTCTCAGGTAAACCTCCAGCGTCTCAGGCCAAACCACAAGGAGTATCCAGGACCAAAAAACAAAAGCATCATCCATGTGCTCCAAAGTGACCCAATCCATTAATTCCCACTAGGAAGTTTTTTTTATACTCTCCACAAATCCAGCAGAAAGGGAATGGCGTGCGCACAAACACCTTCACCAAAACGCGAGCGCCTGGCGTGTGCCAATCTGCCACCAGAACGCGCACGTGACATAATAGTGAAGCTCCATACAATAAACGCGTCTGCCATCATCATCACCATCATCCTCACCTCCAAACCGAGTTATCCAGGGATGCCAGGCGTCTGTCCGTGTTGTTCCTCAGATGTGGACGCTGTTCCTGATGCGCGGGCGGCTCGTTCATCGCATGCTGTGTCCTCTGGCGTGTGTAGCAGGTGTGTTTCTCGCTGTTTTGCGCGCTGTGGTGAGTTGACAGATGCTGTCCGCACACAGAGAAGCGAGTGAATGTGCTCCGGTCTCTCCCAGCTGATACTTTACTCCTCGGAAGCGCCTCCCACTTTCTTTTTTTTTACAGCGCCGTGAGCTCCGCGCGCGCGATTCCGGGAGACGCGGCGACACCTGCTGGCGAAATGAGGAAGTGCAGTCCATTAGTGCACTTTACGCTCTAGTTGTTAAAATGGCATTCAAATTGCTTTATTGTTATGTACACGCACTGCTAGTCAAAACTTTGTAAACAGGAAGATTTGTTAATGTTTTAAAAGAAGCCCATTCTGCCCAAAGCTGAAGTTATTTGGTGAAAAACTGTGAAATGTTATTATAATTTTACTATTTTAGTGAAGTTTATTTATAAACTAACTTCAAGAGGATCACATGCTTATTATTGTTGGGCTGGTCCAACATTATCCAATTTATAATTCATCAATCAGACGAATTCTTAGCCACTATAAATACCCTAAATCTGTTGTCACACTGGGCTTTTCCTCCTATACTTCCATTCATACCCACGAGAATGCGTCAGACCAGAAATGCAAGGTCATGCGTCAAGTTTTGCAGGTTGCTGCAGTGCAAAGTTCAAGCTTGGTGAACTCTGACCTGCGAAATCGCATCACTTGATTGCGTGAGACCAATCGGGGATCACAATATGACATCTCTAAACAGAATCCCCCTACTGTGCAATAAATATGTCAATACTTTCTCATACGCACTTGTGCAGAGCACCTTATATCAATATACAATGCAATACTTTCTACATTCACATTTGTACACAACACCTTATAACCTGTATATTTATAACAAATCTGTACATACAATTCAACATACAGATTTCTTGACTAACTGCATCTCTGATTAATGTTTTTCATCTTTTTTTTTTTTTTTTTTCATTTTTTGTGTAGTCACTTGTCACTTTATGTACACTGGAAGCTTCTGTAGCCAAAACAAATTCCTTGTGTGTGTGTGTGAAGCACACTTGGCAATAAAACTGATTCTGATTCTGAAAATTAAAACATGGAGCAGTCTCTCGCTTTTTTTTAATTGTCTAATAAGCTTGTTAAATCCCGCCCCTTTTCGCAGCGCCACAAGTACACGTGCAAACTAAATAACAATTTATTTAGTTTAAAATATTTAGTTTAAAAACACCTTTCAGGTAAGCATTTTTCACATACATGTATTTTTTATATGCCATAATTGACTAATCCAAATCGGCACCATAGACATGCTCCATGTAAGTAGTTATCTCTTAAGAGCAATCACTATCTGTTCATTAGCTACTACAGCAGGGGAGTTCTCGAGATCTACCTGAGCTCAAACTCCTTTCTCGCCTTGCAAACGGGAGGGAGCCCTGGGCTCGAGGATCTTATGAGATCAGGGCTCTCTCCTGGGACAGCATGCCAAACACGCTTTATAATCAATCATCAGCTTAGTGTGAACTCTTGAAAAAATTTTCTGTGGCATTTCTGTGAAGTTTGCATGTTCTCCTGGTGTTTGGCTTGGGTTATCCAAAGACATGCGGTATAGGTGAATTGAATAAACTAAATTTGCCGTAGTATATGTGTGTGAATGTGAGAGTGTATGGGTGTTTCCCAGTACTGGGTTGCAGCTGAAAGGGTATCCACTGCGTAAAAACATATGCTGGAAAAGTTGGCGGTTCTATCCGCTATGGCGACCCCTGATGAATAAAAGGACTAAGCCAAAGGAAAATGACCGAATGAATCCCCTCATCATTACTCCAGCCTTACATCATTACTGTACATAGTTTTTTTTTTTTTTTTTGATTACATAGTTTTTATTACATTATAAAATACATTTATAATGAACTTTTATAATTACTTCCCTATAAAAATAAAAAAGAGAATAGGGTATTATTTAGAACTTCTTTTATCAAATAATCATAAAAATAAAATGTATCGCAATATCTGAGCAATTAAATTAAAATAAATGCAGTACTGATAATTTTAAGAATCATTATTAGTGATTCTGTACTAATAACAACTGATCATGATAGAATAGCAAATGAATAAACATGAATGCATTCAAATTTGAAATACATAGAAGATTACAGTGAATTAAAACTGTCAGTTCAGTTATCAGTTTAAGTTCAGTTCAGTTCAGTTCAGTTCAGTTCAGTGTGGTTTAATATTCACTGCTGAGAGTCCAAACACTCAAGAGTAATCCATCGATGCGCAGCTCTATAAGTCCCGAAATATGCAAGCCAGTGGCGTTAGCGGCGAGGAAAAAAACTTCATCAATTGGCAGAAGTGAATTATTATTATTATTATTATTATTATTATTATTATTATTATTATTAATTAAAAGATATAAACATTAAATATTATATTATAAGTATTATAAATACTATAAATCTTTATTACAATGATAATATTTATATTATATTATATTATATTATATTATATTATATTATATTATATTATATTATATTATATTATATTATATTATATTATATTATATTATAAATAAATATACAACTATATATGTTACTGTTCAAAAGTACTTATTTAGCTATATATATTAGAAAGTAGTTTTTGTATTCTGTAAAGTACATTGCATTTATTTAAACTGACATAAGCTAATTTTAATCAAAGATTTCCATTTTAAATAAATGCTGCTTTAAATTTTCTGCATATCCAAGAACTCTGACAAATTACCACAGTTTCCATAATAAGCGCAGTTGTTTTAAATATTTATAATTATTATATTATTAAAGTTAATAATAATATTTACGTAAATAAAATGTGTTTATTGAGCAAGGATCAGGATCATAACACTTAATGCTGGAAGAATGATGCTGTAAATGCAGCTTAGTCATCACTGGATCATATTCTAATACATCTAAAATGTCTAAAACAAAAGAGGACTTATACTGATTATTTAAGATTCATGGCTTTGCATTTAGTTTTAAAAGGCACAACATTTATTTTAAGTCTTAACTATTTACAATTACAGATGTGAGTGACCGAAAAAAGACAAATGTAGCATTTTAAGGCACTATTAAAGAAGCCTAATTTATTCCCAATTCACTTGAGTGATGTGCAATTAAGTAGAGTGCACTTGTCACAAGTTTGCCAGGTACAGACGCTGGCACAGCAATGCCCAGTGTGGCATGGTGATTAATTATAGATTATACACACAACACGATATTTAATTCCTTTGGCTGTTATAAACATCTTTCTAGTGATACCAAGCTAATCTACACAGTAAATTCTGAGACATACGATGGCTGACCAGACTCAGCCCTTAGCTTCAGTGAATAACCAGTCTTGGGTGATATGGCAGTACTGACAGGTTAAAATGTTTTAGCCAGATAAAAAAATGTGAACCTTAGCAGTATTCTGCCATTTGCATGTTAATGTCAGAGTGCAAGTGCAGTATTTATGTCTGATGGTTGTAGGTTCAAATCCTATGAACTATGATCAATAACTATTGTTCTGCTGTTGTGCACTTTAAGGTTACATGTATTAAATAAATGGTTTATAATTTGGTGCATGTTCCATGTTCCTGTTGGGCGCAGCACAGTGGCTCAGTGGGTAGCACAATGGCTTCACAGCAAGAAGGTCACTGGTTTGAGCCCCGTCTTGGTCAGTTGGCATTTCTTTGTGGAGTTTGCATGTTCTCCCATGCTCGTGTGGGTTTCCTCCGGGTGCTCCGGTTTCCCCCACAGTCCAAAGACATGCGCTATAGGTGAATTGAATAAACTAAATTGGCCGTAGTGTATGAGTGTGAATGTGAGAGTGTATGAGTGAGTTGCGCTCGAAGGGCATCCACTGTGTGAAACAAATGCTGGAGAAGTTGGCAGTTCATTCCGCTGTGGCGACCCCTGATTAATACAGGGACTAAGTTGAAAAGAAAATGAATGAATGTTCCTGTTGGATGATTGCAAGTTAAAATCCCACAAGCTGTGATGATCCGTAACTACACTCACCGGCCACTTTATTAGGTACACCTTACTAATACTAAGTTGGACCCACTTTTGCCTTCAGAGCTGCTTTAATCCTTCGTGGCATAGATTCAATAAGGTACTGGAAATATTCCTCAGAGATTTTGGTCTATATTGACATGACAGCATCATGTAGTTGATGCAGATTTTTCACCTGTACATCCATAATGCGAATCTCCCATTCCACCACATCCAATAGGTGCTCTATTGGATTGAGATCTGGTGACTGTGGAGGCCATTTGAGTAAAGTGAACTCATTTTCATGTTCAAGAAGTCTGAGATGATTCAGGCTTTATGACATGGTGGGTACACTGTGGTCGTAAATGAATGGACATGGTCAGCAACAATACCAGGCAGGCTATGGCCTTGACACAATGCTCAATTGATACTAATGAGCCCAACGTGTGCCAAGAAAATATCCCCAACACCATTACATCACCAGCAGCAGCCTGAAAAGCAGCATGGATCCATGCTTTTATGATGCCAAATTCGGACCCTACCATCCGAATGTTGCAACAGAAATCGAGACTCTTTAGACCAGGTAATGTTTTTCCAATCTTCTAATGTCCAATTTTGGTGAGCCTGTGTGAATTGAGCCTCAGTTTCCTGTTCTTAGGTGACAGGAGTGGCACCCGGTGTGTTCTTCTGCTGCTGTAGCTCATCTGCCTCAAGGTTGTGCCTTCAGAGATGCTCTACTGCAGACCTCGGTTGTAACGAGTGGTTATTTGAGTTACTGTTGCCTTTCTATCAGCTTGATCCAGTCTAGCCATTCTCCTCTGACCTCATCAACAAAGCATTTGCACCCACAGAACTGCCGCTCACTGGATATTTTCTCTTTTTCAGACCATTCTCTGTAAACCCTAAAGATGGTTGTGCGTGAAAATCCCAGTAGATCAGCAGCTTCTGAAATACTTAACCCGTCTGGCCAACAACCATGCCACGTTCAAAGTCACGCAAATCACCTTTCTTCCCCATTTTGATGCTCGGTTTGAACTGCATGAGATCATCTTGACCATGTCTGCATGCCTAAATGCATCGAGTTGCTGCCATGCGAGTGGCTGATTAAAAATTTGCGTTAGCAAGCTGTTGGACAGGTGTACCTAATAAAGTGGCCAGCAAGTGTATATCATCATTCTTCCTTTGTGCA